GTCTTGGTCTTGCCCTCTTGTATTACCATGGTTATTTGCCTCCTGTGTTGTCCCCAGAAGGTCACTTCTCCCCAAGTGACCCTTTACAAGTAAACCTTTCATAGGTCCATAATTGCCCTCTCGGGGACCAGGTCCCGAGATGACATTACTGCTATCTTTACTTCCCAGGGCCACTCATGCCCTTTGCAATGTCCATTTGTGAGCTAGTCCCTCCCTTAGTTGCTCTAATCCTAGCATACCATCTGTTTCATACTGGGATATTGATACACACAGTGAATGTTTCAAACATCATTTTTCAAACATTTGCTTAGTATCATGGAAATGTCTGAACATCCTCAAGTTTGGCTTTGGAAATGGGTGTAAAGCCAACTTTAAATGGGTGCCACAGATGATTTAGTAGAGATGACTGAGGTATTTGGGCACAGTGATGCCATGCTTCTCTATGTCTCTTGCCTTTTTGTAAAGTCTGAGCATGTATGCTGCTCTTCTCTGGTCCCATAGCAGAGGCAGCAAGCTTTCCCTCCATGCCTCCTGTTGGCATCTCCTACTTCATGGATCTGTCTCCTGTCTCATTCCTTGCCAGCCAGGTCTCCATGGGGAGAAAAGACAAGCTGCCTATCTGTTAAGTCCAGAAGAGAGCAGGCCTGTGGAGACTTCCACATAGACATTCCTGCACTGAATTCAGGGTGGGAGTACCTCATTAGTACCAGGGTACAAAAGCTAGAACTTGATGAGACACCACAGAGCAGCTGAAAGTTCGAGTAGTTACCACACTGAACCCAGAATCTTGGGTTTAACTCTATTTAATCTTTCAGTAATATGGTGATCTTGGGTAAAAAAAAAAAAAAAAATCCCCCTTTCCTAAGGCTTATTGTCTCAGTCTGGGCGAGCATACACATGCAAATCACACCTCATGTGATGATTTGTCTTCAGTGTCAACCTAGTGGATCTAGAACCACCTAGGAGCCACACCTCTGGGTAGGTGAGGTTAACCCTAGGAGGGAAAACCCACTCTAACTATGGGTGGCATCATCCCACAGACTGGGGTCAATGCCTGAATAAAAAGAGCGTTCATCTCTTTCTGCTTCCTAATTGTGGATGCAGTGTGACCAGCTGCCTCCCCTACTGTGATAGACTGTATCTCTAAACTGGGAGCCAAAATAGCCCTTATTTCCATAGGTTGCTTCTTGTAAGTCATATGGTAACAGAAAGACAGAAACTAATAGACCTCAGGCCAAAGCTGACTGGTGGGCACTTAAAACCTATATTGATAATGGCATTACAATTGAGCAGGCATGTTCTAAATGCCCACACTGGTGGGCTCCTGGGCCACCTGCCTTCCCCAGAATCATTCTTGCACCACAACATGGGGACATGGTTAATTATAATACATACATATATATATATATGTATATATATACATATATATATATATATATATATTATAATTAACCATGCTTAAATACTGCAATGCAGGTTTGCTGAAAGCTAACTTCCCCGGAGTCATACAGCAGGGTGTTGCTGTATGACTGCACAGGGTCTAGCACCACCCGTGCCACTCTTTATTCAATTTCAATGTACTTTAAATTCATTTCTTAAAATTTAACCCAGTTCTCAGAAAAGGTATGAGTAGATAATGTGACTGATACAACAGACACTTCTCAGGCCTCCAAATAAATAGCTATTAAAATAACAGTCCATCACTATGCCACCTGAAATTATCCTGTGTGGCAGCAAACACACACCTGGCTTGCACTAGGAAACCAAGTCTTCAGAAACTCTCCTCATACCAGGAGATGTGGATGCATACTAAGAGAGCAGAACGATGGAGGAGCAGTGGGGGAGCAGCTCTCTCTTGCTTGACCTGGGATTCTTTGTCCACTGAGGAGGAAAAACAAAGATGGGCAATGTGACTGAAGCTGCAGGAAGGAGCAGCCAGTGGTGAAAAGAATCAAGAGGACCCAGAAGCAGGGATGCAGACCTGAGAGACTCAAGAAGAAGAAGGAATGAATGTACACAAGTCAGGTTCACACCCATATGGTAGTGATGAGGGATGTAAAAACAGAATCAAGGTTATTTCAACCTGGGCCTGGAAAAATAGCTCAGTAATTAAGAGCCCTTGATGTTCTTGCAGCGGACCTGAGTTTGTTTCCCAGTACCCATATCAATCATTCTTCTGGCCTCTATCGATACCTGAATGAGTAGTACACACACACCACACACACACACACACACACACACACACACACACACACACACACACAGAGAGAGAGAGAGAGAGAGAGAGAGAGAGAGAGAGAGAGAGAGAGACACACCTTTTTTAAAAAGAGGACATTTGCCGGGCATTGGTGGTGCATGCCTTTAATCCCAGCACTCGGGAGGCAGAGGCAGGGGGGTTTCTGTGAGTTCCAGGCCAGCCTGGTCTCCAGAGCGAGCGCCAGGATAGGCTCCAAAGCTACACAGAGAAATCCTGTTTTGGAAAAAAAAAAAAGAGAGAGAAGGAAACTCATGTAATAGCATCAAAATATAGGATATTTAGGGATGAAGTTAACAGAAGAAATTCAAGGCCGGCATGCTGCAAACTAAAAAACATCATGAGAGGAAATTAAAGGCTCAACCTAACAGAAAGGTAGTGTATGCTTACAGATTCTGAACCTCAGCATTGTTAGCATTGTCAGAATGGCGGCACTCCCCAAGTTGATCTATGTGTCAATTCGATACAACCTTTATCAAAAATCCCAATTATTCTTTTCACAGGGAGAAATCTACAAGTTGATTCCTGAATTCATATGGAAATATAAAGGACTCAGAAGAGACAAAGCAATTTTGCAAAACAAATGCAACTCAAAAGCACGCTGAGCTACCACTTTACACCCAGTGTGGTGCTAGGACAGAAGACAGATAATGGGCGCTGATGAAGAGAAGAGGCGTTGCAAACCTCAGGTGCTGCAGACAGGGATGAAGAAACATTGCAGCTGCTTTGGGAAATCACTTGGAAGTTTCTTGAAAGGTTAATGGAGGCCTGCCTTATGACAGGTCCTCTGGAATGTTCAAAGGAAACCAACTTCCGTAACTTTCACGTGAATGGTCAGCATAACGTTGTTCAGAGTAGCACCAGGTAGTGACTGTCCACCAGTTTATGAATGGACAGATAAAACAGAGTGACGTTGTCATGTGGAAATGCAAATGAACCAAAGTCCATCTATCAAACTATTTCTAAGGAATAAAAAGATATTGAAGTGCTGACCAACCCTATGATGTGGAGAAGCCTTAAGACCATCAGGATAAAGGAAAAAAACATGGGACACTAAGATTGTATGTTAGATAATTCCATGGTTTCGAAAGATGTCCAGAGCAGGCAAAGCCATTGAGTAAGATCAGTGTTTGCCTAGGACTGTGGCTAACAGAGGAATGCACGTGTGTGTATCTCTGTGTGGGTATGTGCCTATGAGTGCAGTCCTCACAGAGGCTTGAAGAGGATATCAGATTGCCTGGAGTTGGAATTATAGGCATTTAAAAAAATTTTTTTATTAGTTCAAGTTAGGGAACAAGCTTGTTTCA